TTTTGTATTTTTAGTAGAGACGGGGTTTCACCATGTTGACCAGGATGGTCTCGATCTCTTGACCTCATGATCCACCCGCCTCGGCCTCCCAAAGTGCTGGGATTACAGGCGTGAGCCACCCCACCCGGCCGAGATTTCTTTTTTTTGAGACAGAGTCTGGCTCTATCTCCCAGGCTGGAGTGCAGTGCCATGATCTCGGCTCACCGCAACCTCCGCCTTCCGGGTTCAAGCGATTCTCCTGCCTCAGCCTCCCGAGTAGCTGGGATTACAGGCACGCACCACCATGCCCCACTCATTTTTTGTATTTCTAGTAGAGACGGGGTTTCACCATGTTGGCCAGGCTGGTCTGGAACTCCTTACCTCAAGTGATCAGCCCGCCTCGGCCTCGAAAGTGCTGGGGTGACAGGCGTGAGCCACCGCGTCCGGCCGTCTGCCTCTTCAGAAAGTCCCCTCTCCCTGTGACCAGTCCAGGCCGGGCGCCTCTCCCCGGGTCTGGCATCTTCCACTTCTGCCAGTATTGGCCTTTCCCAGATGCTACAAACTTCCACATGCACTTCTTTTTCTGTGTGGCCCCAAGGGCTGCGGGAGAAAACTCCAGGAGCTTTATGTCCCCTAGACCCTTGGAAGGTGAGACAGGGGCGTGAACCAAGGAAGCCACCTCCTCTCCCTGGCTGCCGTCCCACTCCTCACCAGAATCATCAGTGGCCTTTGACCTCGGTGGCCCTTGCCTCCTGAGCCCTGCATTGTCCCAGGACACACGGAAGTCTGGTCACCTCTGGGTGCCTGGGATGGTCACCAAAGAGAAGGACACCATTCCCGTCTCTCCTGGCTTCTGCCAGAACATCCAACAAGTGCAATTAACTTGCTGTCACCGCCGAAGCCTGAAGGTCCCAGAACGTGTCCTCCATCCTGGAAATCACCGGGGTCCAGCTCTCAGAGCCCGCAGGAGAGGGACCCCCAGCGGAGCCCTTGCAGGACTCCATGAAACAAGGAACTGCTGGATGGAATGGATCTCCTTGCACCTGCACGATGAAGCCTGAGTGCCGGCACTTCTGTCTCCCCAGGGCTCGAGTGTCCCCAGCAGCCTGGCCACACAGCTTCCCAGGTGGGCTCGGCGGGGAGCAGGGACCATCCCTGTCCCATCCACCCCAGAGACCACCCTCCCCAGCCAGGTCCGGAATAGAACTCCGGATGTAGACATCAGAATAAATGATCTTGTTATGGTGCCCTCGGCAGCTTCTGCTCATCTCCTTTCTTGCCAGAGTTAACAGGGTGCCCTGTCCCCAGGGGTGAGCCTCAGGTCTTGGGGCTGAGAAAATCTTTCTTTTTTTTGTTTTGGAGACAGCATCTTGCTCTGTGGCCCAGGCGGGAGTGCAGTGGTGTGATCATAGCTGATTGCAGCCTCAACCTCCCAGGCTCACAAGATCCTCCCGCCTCAACCTCCTGCGTAGCTGGGACCACAGCTACATTACCATGCCCAGCTAATTTTCTTTATTCATTTTTTTGTTTTTTTACAGGCCAGGGGCTGTGGTTCACGCTTGTCATCCCAGCACTTTGGGAGGCTGAGGCAGGCGGATCACTTGAGATCAGGAGTGTGAGACCAGCCTGGCCAACATGGTGAAACACTGTCTCCACTGAAAATACAAAAAAGTAGCTGGGCACAGTGGCTCATGCCTGTAATCCCAGCACTTTGGGAGGCCGAGGCAGGCGGATCATGAGGTCGGGAGTTCGAGACCAGCCATACCAACATGGTGAAACCCCGTCTCTAGTAAAAATACAAAAATTAGCTGGGCGTGGTGTCGGGCACCTGTAATCCCAGCTACTCGGGAGGCTGAGGCAGGAGGATCACTTGAACCTGGGAGGTGGAGGTTGCAGTGAGCCGAGATTGCACCACTGCACTCCAGCCTGGGTAACAGAGCGAGACTTCGTCTCAAAAACAGGAAGCCAGCCCAGGAGGCTTTGGTTTGCTGATCCCTGTCTTATACAGACTCAAAAAAAATTAATTTTTTTCTGGAGACAGGGTCTCGCTCTGTCGCCCAGGTTTGTCTGAAACTCCCCTCCCCGCCAAGTGATCCTCCTGCCTCAGCCTCCTGAGTAGCTGGGATTACAGACATGTGCCACTGCACCCAGCCAAGAAAGTCTTCATTTTCACCAGGGTTTGGGGATCTCCAAAGAGCCCCAAATGAATATGCAGATACCCAGTATATGGATGGAATTTAATTTAAATACAGGGTGGGAGGTCAGGGGCCACTAGGACAGAAACTTCTAGAAAAAGGCTGAGGAAAGCCAGTGTGCGAAGGGGCTCACATCAACGCTGGATTTTTATTTTGTGAGAGAGTTCTTATTTCCCACGCTCACCAAAAGTGGTTCACTCTGCCTTGCTTGCTTTGTAAAAGAAAACAAAGTAGAAAACTTTTACCACGTGCCAAGGAACAGATTCAGTGGGAAGAGCCCATTACCACCCAGCCCCTGTGGCCTTGGACAAAGGAACATACACTAAAACTTTTTATTTACTTGTTTATGTATTTCATTTTATTTGCTTATTTATCTTCAGACAAAGTCTTGCTCTGTCGCCCAGGCTGGAGTGCAATGGCGTGATCTCGGCTCACTGCAACCTCCACCTTCTGGGTTCAGGCGAGTCTCCTGCTCAGACTCCTGAGTAGCTGGCCTTACAGGTGCCCTCCACCACGTCTGGCTTATTTTTGTATTTTTAGTAGAGATGGGGTTTCACCATAATGGCCAGGCTGGTCTCAAACTCCTGACCTGAGGTGATCCGCCTGCCTTGGCCTCCCAAAGCGCTGGGATTTCAAGTGTGAGTCACCGCGCGCGGAGCAGATTTTTGTATTTTTAGTAGAAACAGGGTTTCACCATGTTGACCGTGCTGGGCTCCAGCTCCTGGCCTCAGGGGATCCTCCTGCCTCAGCCTCCCAAAGTGCTAGGATTGCAGGTGTGAACCACTGTGCCCGGCTGCTTTTGGTTTTGTGTATGTGAAAACGGTGGGCATTGGGTGAGTCTCTGGGGTCCCTTCCAACGTGAAACGTCATGGGTCCGGGGCCTGACGGAAGACCAGCTTTGGCTCCCGAATTTGGAATTTTGCAGGTCCACAGCTCATCAGGGAGAGGAGGCCCTGGGGCCTGCGGGGTGGAAGCTCAGCCTTGTGCTGCCGCATCTCGCCCCTAGAGGGCGCCGCGATGCTGGGAAAGGACGGGCTCCTGTTAGGCAAAGAGCAGGCTGCTATTTCCTAGGGTTTCTGTTCAGTTCTGTTTTTTTTTTTTTTTTTTTTTTTTTTGAGACGGAGTTTCACTCTTGTTACCCAGGCTGGAATGCAATGGCACGATCTCGGCTCACCGCAACCTCCGCCTCCTGGGTTCAGGCAATTCTCCTGCCTCAGCCTCCTGAGTAGCTGGGATTACAGGCACGCGCCACCATGCCCAGCTAATGTTTCGTATTTTTAGTAGAGACGGGGTTTCACCGCGTTGACCAGGATGGTCTCGATCTCTTGACCTTGTGATCCACCCGCCTCGGCCGCCCAAAGTGCTGGGATGACAGGCGTGAGCCACTGCGCCCGGCTGTTTTTTGTTTTTTTAAGACAGTTTCACTCTGGTCACCCAGGGTGGAGTGCAGTGGCACGATCTCGGTTCACTGCAACCTCCGCCTCCTGGGTTCAAGCGATTCTCCTGCCTCAGCCTCCTGAGTAGCTGGGACTACAGGTGTGCACCACCACACTTGGCTAACGTTTGTATTTTTTTGGTAGAGGTGGGGTTTCACCACATCAGCCAAGCGGGCCTTGGACTCCTGACCTCACGTGATCTGCCTGCCCCGGCCTCCCAGAGTACTGGGATTACAGGCACGTGCCACAGGGGATGTTTCCTAGTGTTTGACCCTTTGGCTTTCCAAATACACCTCAGCTATTTCCAGGGCCAGTTTAAGAATGTGGGAGCTGGCTGGGCACGGTGGCTCATGCCTGTAATCCCAGCAATTTGAGAGGCCGAGGTGGGCGGATCACTTGAGGTCGGGAGTTTGAGACTAGCCTGGCCAACACAGTGAAACCCTGACTAAAGATACAAATAAATTAGCCAGGCGTGGTGATGTGCACCTGGGAGGTGGAGGTTGCAGTGAGCCGGGTGCACCACTGCACTCCAGCCTGGGCAACAGAGTGACACCCTGTCTCAAAAAAAAGAATGTGGGAGCTGACGGGGTCTAAGTCATCACCTATACATCAGCTGCACCACAGCCCCCAAAAAGGTCCCCCTCCCAATCCCCAGAACCTGTGGACAGGTTATTTCATTGTAAAAGAGACTTTGCAGATGGAATTTAGTTAAAAATCATAAGACAGGGCCAGGCATGGCAGCGGTACTTTGGGAGGCCCAGGAAGGAGGAACTCTGCCTCCCAGGTTCAAGCCATTCTCCCACCTCATCCTCCCAAGTAGCTGGGATTACAGGCATCTGCCACCACACCCGGCTACTTTTTTTTTTTGTATTTTTAGTAGAGACAGCGTTTGATCATGTCGGCCAGGCTGGTCTCAAACTCCTGACCCCAGGTGATCTGCCCGCCTTGGACTCCCAAAGTGCTGGGATTACAGGTGTGAGTCACCACAC